AAAAAAAAAAACAACCCCCCCCCCCCCCCAAAAAAAAAAAAAGCCTCTGCTGCAGGCACCGGTTCCTAGCCTCTTCCCTGTGGAGATTCCTACAAAGTTTTCTAATAGGATAAGTGGCTGTTATAAAGTAATAGATGATCGTTGACAAGGGTTTCAAAGTCCTACAAGTTTCTTACTTTCAGTGCAGCAGCTGCAAGACTAAAAGCTAACAGTTCTTGCTTTAAATGACCCCTCTGATCAGAGATTCTCAAAGAAAGAAAAAAAGGTGTAGTTTAATTGTGGGTCATAAAGAATAGGTTTTATAAAGGGGGACAATTGAAGAGAAGATCTCAAGCCCTACTCTGGGTCTAGTAGAACTATCAATTTGATGCCTCCTTCCTCACCCTGGAAAGAATGATAGAAGATTACAGCCATATCTTACTACTACAAAGAGTGATGATATGACAGTGTGATATTCATTTACAGTTTTATTTGCTTAGACGTTCCAAAGTTTATGTGTGTGTATGCAAGAGAGAGCCTGCAAGCCTTGACTTAACTCAAGTGGTGCTTACCAACCAATCAGCACTCTGTAATTCCCTTGGTCTAGTAATGAACAGTAGTAATATGCATACATGTATATACACTACTGTTGTGTGCTATGAATGTGCAGAGTATTTTTAGCTATTATATCACACAATTAAGTATTTACTTAATATAATGTTTGTTGGCTTTTGGCAAGTATGTCAGAGTGTCATATCAATGTGGTCATCTGTTGCAGTAGGTGAAAGTCCAGTGTGCTGGAAGATCTTTATCATATGCATGCCTAGAGAATTATTGGTTTGCAGAATGGATGACGTTTCTTGAAAAAATAAGGTCATTGGGGTTTTAGGAATTAAACAGTGTCTATTGAGCAGAATATTGAATGACCTCTTGTATGTTTTCCCCATGGATGTGAGTTATAACTAAGCACTAGGCATTTCCATACACTGTCCTCGTCTAAGGATAAATGAACATAAATGTTTAGCTGGTTGTCCAGTTCTCATACACCGGTCACAATGTTACTTTCCTTAAATGGTCCAAATAATCTGTATCAAACAATTCACTCTGATGTATTGGGCCTACATTGAGAGAGACTGTCAAAAGCTACAATTTCACTTATTTAGTATTAGTAGTGGTAGTAGTAGTATTTAGTACTTATTTAGTATGCTTGCTGTGTATAAGTTTCTAACCATCCCAACAAAGAGCCTTGTTAGAATAATATCTCATTTAAAAGATCCAGACATCCCCAAAACTTAAATTTGTCTTGTACTTTACTGAGTAGAGATAATCCTATGAGGAGTCTGTCTGGCATACAGAACAGCAGACAGGCATGTAGATTGCCATGCTAAAAATTAATAATAAGATTGCATTATGTGTGGCAGCTATAGATTTAACTTGGTAGACATGACAGGTTGGCCTCTCGTGTAAAAACAAGTTCAAGTAACATACTTTTGAAGAGCTTAGCAGTGAAGTCAAGCATATAATAGTGACTATTGTTGCTATAGTAGAGATTACTTTGCATTTTTAGCTGGACATAATTGTTTTGTATATTATATAAGACTTTAAAGAACACTTGTCAGATGTTTATAATCTTACGTTATAGCTATTCTCAAGCAGACATCTGCTGCTCTGGCACCATCTAGTGGTAGCATTTTGGAGATGCAGTTAGCCTACAATTGCAGCAGCAATATTTTATGAGAATTATGCTGCCCTCCAGTGGTAAGAAATAAAACTGTCTTTCTAACTACATACTGTAGATTCCTTTTAATTATATTTACAAATGGCAGTGAAAATATAAACTAGGGCTCACCCACTAAATGTTTGATCTTACTACCCTATATAGGCAACTAGTAGCAATGAGAGAGAGAGAATATGATTGCCTTTGTTTTGCACCACAGATTTCTACAGATAAAGATTTTTAAAAAAAAGATGGAGCTGAGTCCCTTTACCTCCTTATGAACACAACATAGGAAAGTGCATATTGTCAGTGCACTAGTGTGCAGTAGGGGAAATCTTTTAAGGTAAAGGGAGTGGGCAAATATTGATTTTAATGGAAATACGTGAAGATAAAACAAGGATGTAAAGTTTGTTTTCAAAGTGAATCTCAGTACTGATTTAAGCTGTCAGCATTACAGGTTTGATACTTAAAGGATTGTGTCTAGCCTGCTTTAAAGAATCAGATGGAGCTGTGGTGAGGATGTGCCCACCTCCACCCTGCAACACTACATCATCATGACTCAGACATAAATAAAGGTAAAACTATACCAAGGATATTCCCATTGCTTTGTAAATTCTCTCCTTTCTCATCTTCTCCTATGTTATTTATTGTATTTCTCCCTTTTCCAGGATATCTCTCTACCCTTTGGAGGAATCAATGTTCCACATGGGCTCAGACTCTCCCAGGTGTAGGCCTAGTCATATCCTATGAATTTGTTGTATGCAAGACACTCCTGGTGTATTGGGGTTGGTTTTGCAATGTTCAAAATCTCTTGTGTGGCACTAGTCTGTTTAGGGAAAATTAATGATCCCTGCTGAATCACATTGTCAAGCTTCTGATATGTTAATTAGCTTAATATTTTGCTTAAAGGAGAACTATGGGGTTAAGGCTTTTCCCCATAGTTCTCTTTAGGGTAACGGGAGGACACAAACTAGCGTCCTCCCGTCACTCTAGGCTCAGTATACCGTGAGCTGTAGCTCGCTGTATACTGAGACCCGCAGCTGAAGCGGATCTCGACAATTATGTCTGGATCCGCCCAGCTGCGTGACTGACAGCTGTCTCTGCCTATCTACAGGCAGAGCCAGCTGTACCCGCCCCTTTCCCGTCCGTTCCGCCAGTCAGCGCTGTGACAGGATCGAGAGGTGAGCGAACGCTGGTATATGTTCGCTCACCTCCCGATCTACTGAGCCGACCTGTGACATTCTCATTGTCACAGATCGGCTAGAACTATGAGGTGAGTGAAAAGCACTCACCACATAGTTCTCCTTTAATGAACATATTATAACATGTGCCACATGCCTAAGTTTGCATTCTTATAGTGGAAAGAATGTTATATATCACTATCATATAAAATGAGCTGTATGAATAAGTAACATGTGGAACATTTAGCCTTGTGTGCCGAGGTAATTAGAGTTCATGTAGAACATTTTGGCCTCATAGGACGAGGTAACAAGAGTTCAATGATACAAAGTCATAAACAACTTTTCTGACCTTGGCTTAACCTCTTGCCGTCCGCCCGTAGTAAAAAAACGGACGGACGGCACTGCAGCATCTGCGGGTTGCCGTCTCCAGACGGCAATTTTTTTCTGCTCGCGCGCGCCCCCTAGCGGGCACGCACGGGCAGAAAAGACCCGCTAAATGCACACACCCGTTACCGGGTGTTTCACATATAGGCGATCGGCGGGTCCATAGCCCGCCGATCGCCTATATGTGCTCGTTCGCGGCACCCCCCCCCCCAGGGTTGTTATCCCCCTATATAATAGCAATACCAATAAGTGCAAAAAAAATAAATATAAATAAAAAAAAATAAAAGTAACACATAAAAAAGTAAAATAAAATAAAAGTCACATATAAAAAAAGGGGAAAAAACCCCCCCAAAATGTTTAACTCCCCCACCCCCACGTTTACGCGCCTATAAACGTAAATACGCGTCCGGTGCCCCAGCGCGCAAAAATTACAATTGCGCTACACATGTTACATATCGCCGCGAACGTCGCAGTGAGAGCAATCATTTTAGGGCCATCAATCACTGATAACACTAAACTGATGAGCGGTAACAGCTTTTAAAGCGTCGCCTAGGGCCAATTTTGGGTATTATCGTTTTTTGAGGTTTCGCGCGCGCACGCAATTTTAAGGCTTGACATGTTTAGTGTCTTTTTACCCGACGTGACCCCATCTTTTATATTTTACCAAAAAATTGGGTAATAATAAATGTTTTATCATTTAATATAGGGGAAACTGTTTTTTTTTTTAAATTTCGGTAATTTTTCCTTAATATAGTAAAAAAATAAAACCCCCAGTGGTGAATAAATACCACCAAAAGAAAGCTCTATCTGTCCCCAAAAAAGGGTATAAAATTCATTTCAGTACAGCGCTGCATGACGGAATAAATGTCAGTCAAAGTACCGCAGCGCTGAATACTGAAAAATGGCCTGGATGGGAAGGGGGTTTAACACCGCGGATGTCAACTGGTTAAAGATTCACTTCCATGTGTACTGTCATATGTACAGAAGTATGGGCTTCATTCTCTTTTAGAAGTTAGTGTTCACTCATTGCTTCACTGGTGAAAGTTTCCACAGAAACAGTTTGCAGAGCTGCCAGCTGGTCATTTATCACCTTTGTGCAGCAAAGTCTGGTTCTCAGGTCCTTTCTACTGCCATGCAGGCTCAATAAATTATTTTTGGTTGGCTGGCAGTATTGTCTCACTCTTTTCATTTGGTTGCACACAGTACCCATGCTGACATGAGGTGGCTAGGGAACAGAAAAATCGTTCTGATACTAACTGTAACTTGCCCCTAGTGTTAGATAACTTACTAATTGCTTAGAATTAGGGGGATAACTGTAGATAATGGAAGATAAGGTGAAGAAATTTACAGAACAATGGAGCTGTACTGGGGTAAGAGGACTGAACATCACAGGCTGACATAAGTAGATGCTAGGAAAGATTTTAGTTAGAGGATGATTGGGACAGCGCTGGAGCATTACGAGGGTGAGGTAATATTGACAATATTCCCCAAAGCCAGAAGGGGAATTAAAAAATAAATAAATCCTGGTGTGTGTCCCTGGAAAAGCACCCTCCCAATGTCGTGGGCATGTGGCCTGGTATGGTGCAGGAAGGGGGGAGGATGAGCGCTTTACGTCTAATAGGAATGTTAGGGGGGTCCCCAAGCTTTTTTTTCTGCTTCTACGGACTTAGATGTAAATTGGTTTGTACCTACTGCCGCATCCGAAATTAACGAAAATTTGGATTAGTCCGAATCCCAAACCTAATTCGTTACAAATTCCAAAAAACAAAATAATGAAAAATCCAAAACGAACAGAAATTAACCAATTTTTTGGTCGGATTACTTGTCTAGAAACTGGTTCGGGGACAAATGTCTAAAGGTACCCATACACCTTACAATTATCGTTCGAAAAACGAATGCAACCCGTTTTTCATTCTATAATCAGCCAGTTGATGGGAAGTGCATGATCGCAATTACTGGCCGAATTTGGTTTAACGGGCAGACTTGAAAACTTTTGTCGAAACGGATGAAAATCGATGGGTTAGTGGCGTTTTTGTACAACAAAAATGGCAACATGAACACCTCACATGCGCAAACGACAATCTGTTCTGTTGATCGACGAAATTCAGCCAGTTAGTATTGCTGACGAACGATTATCGAAATCTACATTGGTCTGGGTATTTGTCCAGAAATTAACCAAGGTTGCGATGACGGGACACACACATAAAATTGAATGATAATTGTAGGGTGTATGTTATAGCAGCCAGATGACTGACAGGTGAATGCGGAAGTGATGCGGGGCAGCCCCGAACGAGCACATATAGGCGATCGGCGGGCTATGGACCCGCTGATCTCCTATATGTGTAACACCCGGTAACGGGTGTGTGCACTGATCGGGTCTTTTGCTGCCCGTGCGTGTCCGCTAGGGGGCGCGCGCGCGAGCAGAAAAAAATTGCCGTCTGGAGACGGCAACCCGCAGATGCAGCAGTGCCGTCCGTCCGTTTTTTTACTACGGGCGGACGGCAAGATGTTAAGAGGGGATTTTTTTTTAAATGAGTTGTGCCTCTAGGGCAGGGAGTAAAGGGAAATTTCTCCAATGGTACATAGACAGCAAAAAATAAACTGGCAAGGGTTTTAACCCACCCCTACTCCATGCAAAACTAAAACAAGTTTTGTCTAGACATAAAATACATTACCATAAGATATTGCACAATAATGAATCATACTGCAAAGGGTACAGCTCCCTTCAAACCCAAAGATGGCAAGAAGTACCTTGGCCAGGGTTCTCCTCCATATCCATAGTGCTTGTGTCCCTTTGCCTCTCGTGGAGGAGAGGTCTTTGGTTGGTGATCAGAAGGGAGGGAAACAGCTCCGATTCCTCCATATTCTCTTTCTCTGCCCCATGGAAGTCTTAATACCACAGGCGTGGATAAACGATATTCACAATATCTATGAAGTAAAATCATTACTTTTTGTGTACTAGTGTAGGACAAAGTTGCACAGGTAAATCATGCAATGAGTTCAAAATACCAATAAAATGTTTAGTGCAACATATGTTTTAAGCTCTAAGTGAGGAATAATCTAAATTATATCAAATATGTATTTGAACAGTTACCAGTATGTTAAAATAATTTCCACAGACGTTTATACTGAAGCAGTGAATCTCAACTTGATCTGACAATTGCAGACTGCTACCCATTAAATTATGTTTGATGGACTGGTCTAAAATATTTATTTTATAGATGTAAAACATTGATTAAATGTAGAATGCAATGGTCTTATTCAACTAAGATTCCTCATAATAAAAGCCCCACTTTGGGGCTAAATTTACCCATGCAGTGGTTAATTGCTCGTTTTGCTGGGGGCAAATAATACATTAAAATATTAACCTTATCTCTCACTCCTGCAGGCTTCCTCATTTTTGGGCAACTAGTCCCGTGAAACCACTTCACTTGCCCAGGCAGTTGCAGCTCTCCAACATCATCCTGTACAATCAGTGGCGGACCTAAGGAACAAAGGGCCTCCCCCCATTTCTGCACCTGGGGCAGCTGCACTGTCGCCCAGCTCCACCGTCGGTAGGTCCACCCCTGTGTACAATGCAGGGTCAGCAGTCCTGCTGACCCAGCAGCAGTTTCAGGGCTTTTGGATGTCTATACATGGGAGGCTTTTAAATACCATACATAAAATACATTAAATGCACATGTAATCTTATGAAAATATTTTGTTGAAATTAATGGTCTGGTGACAGGGTCTCTTTGAGGACCCATTCACACCATAAGCATTGGGGTTGCACTGGCTGCTTTTTCCAAATATATTTTCCTAATATATTTCCAGATATTGCATGTTTGTATGTTTAGGTATTAATGAAATGTGTTAATAGTGAAACAATTGTACAAGGGCACCCTCCAACTATGCCATTCTTAAGCCGTCACTTCTATGGGCTTTCCCTCTACAACACTGAAGCATAAAGCAGACACCATAGGCTCCACTTCAAGTGGTGGGAACATCCCTTTTCTGAACCACACAACAAGAATAGGCATAATGTTTTAAGGCCAAAAAACCCCATGTTAAACCGATATCTGTTAAAGAGCTTTTGCCTTGATGGTCTATGTTAATGCTTGTTTATGGTGGTTCAGTGCATGAGGAGATCATGGCACTACCAGTGGCGATCCACATGTTTTTGTTGAACTGGTTTGGGACTGCAAACTGTAGCATAATGTATTCTTAGCATGACACCCCACACTGGGAGAATGTTAACCTGAGATTCCTTTCACTGCTAGGAGCATGCAGCCATGAGCCCTTCTAACTTTGAGATAAGGATGTCACTGACCACTCCTGGTTTCTGGTTTCATCTGATCCTCATTCCATCTATGAAGCCTCAGATTTGAAAAGGTACCCAAGATACCTATAACCGAACACAAATGTTGTTTCTATTTTCACCCAAGACAAAATGAATTATTTTAGGTGGGGGTCCTTATAAAAGTTGATTAGATATGCTATTCCAGTTTAACAAGCTAGGTAGCTGGCAGACTGCAAACAAATATGTTACGCATAAGAGAGAAAATTTACTTATGTATAGGATAAGCTTGACTGATGGTAAAAAGATAAAACATGTATTTATTTATGCAGTATATTACGTCTGTTGGAAACCATTGGAGGTTCCATTCGGTTGACTCTTATTTTATAGACGCGACCAGTCAAGAGATGATGAATTCCATAGCTACTTCCAGGAACCATTAATGTCCTAGCAACAGACATGCAAACATACCTCAACTGCATCATATTTACAGTACAAGGTTCCATCAAACTGTGAAGGAATGTACCAGGAATATATGTGACAGTGAGGAACATTTATGAAAGACTCTACACGTCATTATACTTGCAGTGAACCTTTTAAAGTCAAAGTACCACCTAAGAGCAGACACTACAAGATGCCTGCTATTACTTTTATTATCCATTTCACTTTTTAACTGGGGTCTTACTCGCCTTGACTTCATGGCTAAGTTCTATCAACTACCATCTTCCTATCCAATGAGAAATGCCCTTACTGGCCACTGACAAAGTCTCATTGGTCAGTGCAAAGGCAGACTGCAGGGCTTAGTCATGGGAAAATGTCAGGACCCAGGAACTAAATGAAACCAAATAAAAGAAGCGCACAGATGAAGCTCTTCTAACTAAGGCCACCACCCGCAGCTATTTTAGCATTGCAGCCAAACAGTACTGTATACATTGCTGATGCTTTGCTTTGTGGCATGGCAAAAATGATTACGTCATTACGCATTTAGCATTCCGCCTCTGTGTAGTAAATCCTTCTAGACTTATATAGGGCCATCTTCTGAGAGTAGGGGGTTGATGTAGCCTGTCCGCATCCAAGCACGGACACCCGCACCTACACGGTTGTGCAGCTCGGGTGAGCGTATGACAGCATACGACCGCGTCGTCCCGTAGGGAAGAACAGGCTGCTGCATACAATCACACGCAGCACCTGTCCTTACTGGGATATATGGTCGTGAATGCCACACAGATCTGTACGGACCCACCATGCACTGTGTGAATGAGGCCTAAGAGAGACAGAGTAAGGCTCCTGCAGGATGGATGGATGACTGATAGAGAGACAGAGCCGGTGTTGAAGATAAAGTTATGTACTCTGAACAATGAAGGATGATTGCCAGTTGGTTACTGTTGGCTACTGCCCTTTGCTCATTGCTCTCTTCCATACCATAGGAGCTCAGTTTTCTGCCGCATAGTTTCTGAATTGTAAACAAAACAAGCTCAATAAATGATTTCAGCCAATAAAAACTGCACTGTTTTGGTAGTGCAGGAGCAATCCCCATGGAAATATATATTTATATATATTTTTTTACAGTTGCCATATTTCCTTTGGGAAAAAGAGACTAACATTAGAAATTCAAATGTAATTTACAAACAGGACAGAGCAAGGCTTTCTTTTCCCTTAGAAATATATGAGCCTAGAGCCTGCCACATAATTACAGATCCCTGATATAAATCAACAAAGATCTCTTCCATATCATTTAATCATTTTTGCCCAGGCTGGACCCTTCATTAGAGACCTAGGGTTCACTGTGAGGTAACACATGATGCAATAATTCAGCCTGGAACTAATGACAATTTTGCAGCATTCATTTGACTCTGCTACCGAGGATGACTTAATATAATTTATTTCAGACAAGCCCACATGAAGAGCAGAAAACACGGTAAAACAATGGGACAGGTGATTTCCCCACCCCGCTTTCATCAGTAGACATTAACTTCCCTGTCTCTGATTGCAGGGACATCTCTTTGAAGGCCTTGATGGGACAGATAAAAATTAGATTTTGGGCAAAGTCATAGTTACCATTAGTTACAGTGTTAAGATAAGGCTTAGGGTAAAGTGAGTTCAAGAGCATGTGGTTAGACCTAGTGGGGGTGCGGTTAATGCTATTTAACGATAATTATGTTATTTTACGATAATTATTTGCCAGAATGAGATCAAACCAGCTCTCATTATTAAAATTGTTAGTTATTGTAATAATTATAATAAATATTATTAGTGCATTATCACTATTTGCACTGTGCAGTTACTCTCTGAAAAAAAAGTCCAGTTGCCCAACAAAAGCTTAGCTGAAAAATGTATTATAGCACACATGTACACATTGTCCCACCATGGATCCTCTTCACTCGGATGTTTCACCCATTCAGCATTCCTCAAGATCTCATTGCTTCATCTAAACACATAACCAACAGGTTATGGGCCCAGCCACTAAAAAGAACACTGCAAATCAACAAGTGCTGCATCCAAGCTACTGAAAAATGGCAAGAAGTTCAGATATGAAGTTTGCAATCGCAAAGCTCAACAATAGCATCTATCAGCTATGTAAGTTAAAGCTTGAAATGCTGCTAAGCAAAGATGACTTGTGGCAAGTACTGAGTACAGACAGACCCACTAAGAGATCCACAGAGGAATGAAACAAGGCAAGGAAAAGCAATTATAAGTCTGCGAGTGGAAGATGACCAGCTCATCCACATCAGAAAAGAAAATACAGCCAAAGGTATGTGGACTGCATTACAGAAACTGCATGAGCGTTCAAACCTAAACAGTAAACTATATCTGCTATGCAAGCTACATAAGATAAGGCTAGAAAAAGGACAGGAAATGCATGTGAATACCATGATGACAATCTTACAACAGCTACGTGCAATTGGAAAGGAAATTAAAGATAACCAAATGGTGGCATTACTGCTATGCAGCCTTCCATAGTCATACAATGCTCTTATTAACGCTCTAGAAACCAGACCTGAGCAGGAACTAACACTAGAATAAGCCAAAGGAAAATGAATCAATGAATATGACAGAAGGAAAGAAAATAAGCACAATGAAGAAAATGAGAAAGCCTTTAAGGTGCATGAAAGCACAAAGCAAAACAAAAAAAGCAGAGCTTGTTTTCGCTGTAAAAAGACTGGTCACCTGAAAAAAGACTGTCACCTGAAAAAAGTTCAGTCTGGAAAGCCGAGCAGAGAATGCGAGAGGCACCTACAAGAGAAAGGGCTAAGGCAGCTACAAAGGAAACTGCAGGCACATCTTGGAGTGCCACCTTTAGAGTAACTCAGAACAGTATACCACACGGATCGTGTATTGACTCAGGTGCAACGAGTCACATGACTAGTGATGAGACCTGTTTCACAGAACTAGATTTCAGTGCAAAGTACAAAGTTTTCCTAGCAAACAGGAAAAGTATTACTGCAGAAGGCGTGAAAAATGTACTGTTCCAGACATAGAAGGAACCCTTTTATAGGTAAAAACCCTTGCTAATAACAATCTCGCAGTTCAATTCAGAGGTGATGAATGTACAATCCGAAACAATAAGCAAATCTTTGCAAAAGGAAAATTGGATGAACACCTGTACAGACTCATCACTGCAGACCAACAAGTCAAGACAGCCACTCATAATCCACACAACAAATGTATCCATCTATGGCACAGATGACTAGGGCACCAAAACCCAGAAGCCATAAAAAGCATTATAAAGAGAGGCTTATCAGAAGATATAACTGTACTGCCCTGCCAAATGCTCATGGCATGCAAATGCTGTATGGACGCAAAGGCCACAGATACTCCACTTCCACAGACCACACAACGAAAGACCACCCACTCCATGGAGCTCATACACAGCGATGTGTGCGGACCAATGAAAACTCCCACATCAGGTGGGAACAGATATCTACTGACTTTCATTGATGGTTATTCCAGGTACACAACAACTTTTCTGATGAAGCACAACAATGAAACATCAGAAAAAACATCAAGAGTTTGTAGCCATGCCCAGCACCAAATTCCAAAGGATACTAGGAATTATACGCACCGCCAATGAAGGACAATACATCAGTAAGGCCCCATTCACACTGAGCGATTCGCAAATCGCGCGTTTGTCACACGATTTGCATTTTGCGCGATATCGCGCAAATGCTTGTATTGAGCGAGCTAGAATCGCTGCAAAATCCGCTCCAAAAAGGGTCCTGCTGTAGCGACGCGCGACAGCGACGGACAGAGCCCCATTGCCATGCATTGGAAAGCGATATTGCGCGGTAAATAGCTGCGATATCGTGGGAATTACCGCACGATAAATCGCTCAGTGTGAACGGGGCCTGAGGGAGTGAATTCATACCTGAAGAAACAAGGTACAGTACACCAGACAACCACAACATACACTTCTGAACAAAATGGTGTAGCAGAATGGAAAAATCACACTCTTATAGAAATTACCAGATGCATGCTGTTGGATGCCAAACTACCAAAGAAGTACTGGGGAGAAGCAGTCATGATTGCAACATACCTACAGAACAGTCTACCATCAAAAGCCATTGAAAGCACTCCATCCTGAAATGTGGCATGAATCGAAGCCTAGCCTAGGGCACATCAGAGTGTTTGGATGTAAAGCTTACGCATATATTCCAAAGGAGAAGCGATCCAAATCTGAGAACACAGCCATAAAAGGTATTTTAGTGGGCTATAGTGAACAAAGTAAGGGATATAGAATCCTCCACCCATTATTTAGATGAGAAACCATTGCCAGAAACAAGGATCCCAGGAGGAAGTTGTGAAGTAAATCTGCCCAGTGAACCAGCAAAGGAAGCTGAGCAAAGTGAAGCCGCACAGGAGTCAGAAGAAGAAGTGGAACTCACAATGGAAAAGTCAAGTACCATGTTAAAATCTGCTGAACTACCTGAAATTAGATCCACTCGGGCAACAAACGGAAAACCATCCTGCAAGCTGTCATATACTGCTAAGACACAGAAAGAGTCAACCCTAGAGCCAAGCACATTGACGTGAAGTATCATCTGCTAAGGGACACTCGAGCAAGCAATTATCGACGGGCACTATTGCTCATCATAAGAAATGACTGCGGATGCACTCACCAAGCCATTGCCAAAGGATCATCACAGTTTCCGTCGAGAGAAGGTGAATGTCATATAGCAATGCATATGCTGTTGCGAAGGGGTGTTGGAAATGCAACAGCTTATGCTAATGCACCGTTATTACTTTTGGACACTGGATGGTGCTGTGGTGCAATGTTAGTTTCTATGGTTATATATGCTTGTCTGCGATGCACAGGAAGTTCTATCTGTATATACTGTATGTTTTCCTCTCTACAATGCTGTATTCTGTATACATACATGTAATGTCCTGCTATTCAGCATTTATCAAGATCTCAGTGCTTCATCTAAACACATAACCAACAAGTATTATGTTCACATATTAAAGATAAATAATGAATTAGATTTTATAGCAATAACTTGAGTGCTATGTAATTGTGAAATATATACTGTATGTCTCTTGGTTGTTATGTTCTTGATCTAATTGAAAAACAATCTATTTTTAAAAACTATAATTTAAAAAGTAAGGTGTCAGGCAGGGTCAAGGCTTAGAACCTGAGCTAGACGCTTGTGGGGAAATGGTTGTGTGGTTACTGTTTCTTATATCTAATGTTGAACCTTTTTACAATAGTATCAAATCACATGTTTGTTGGGTGACAACTGAGCCTGATAGGTTTACTTATAAATCATTAACACTGACATTCAAGTGTATTGAGCTAAACTGCAAAGCAATCTCTTGCTTTAAAGAGCATTTCAAAACTATCATGTTCAAAGACAGTTTAATCTCCTTCCACACCTAAATCATAACAAAAAAGATGTATGTGGTTATAATTGATTTAGCTATTCTGTAGGATTTAGCAATGTCAAACAATTAAACACACAGTAATCCTTGGTTAAGTTATTGCTTAGTGCGGCTTTGAACTGGAATAACAAATGCATAATGGATACAAAACAAAACAAATGCAGAAAAGGCGCATAACGCTGCTACTTTTTGGCAAGCACCATGTGCACAAATAGAGAGGCAAACCTTACACTAATACAAGTTCCACCTATTTAATAGAGGACAATTCCCCCCATAGAAAATCCCCTCATTCCACCTGTATAAAAAATATACTTACTTTACCCTGTCTTCTACTTGCGGCGCCTAGGCGAGCGTGACGTCACAATCCATCCTGGGAAATCCTGGGAAACCTGAGAATCCCAAATCTAAGATGCTCCTGCGCTGTGTTAAATTGTCTTCTTGCAAGATGTTGAATACTCAACATTAACAGAATTTTGTAGAAAGGTCCATGAAGTCACCCCCTCTTGTGTGGAAGTTGGGTGTAAGGTAAGTTTACAGTATTTTTCTCTAATATACATTTAGCAAATCTCAGGACGAAGCACTCTAGTGCCTCCTATTTCACCATCCAAGGAGGTCTACTCTGTACATGTCTAGGACTTCCAGGAGCCGTGATTTTTTGATCCAGCAGCCACCATTGACCTGTATTACCCCCCAGTTCATAGATTGGTAATGGTATAGTTGGTCACACCTTGGCCGTGGAGTAACATAGGAGTTAGGGCCTAGCGCTATATGCAACATATAATGCCCTTGTAGCTAACATGCCCAGCCCTTAAAGGAGAACTATGGGGTCAAGGCTTTTCCCAATAGTTCTCCTCAGGGTAACGGGAGGACACAAACTAGCGTCCTCCCGTTACCCTAGGCTCAGTATACCGCGAGCTGTAGCTCGCGGTATACTGAGACGCCGCAGCTGAAGCTGATCCCGACAATTATGTCTGGATCCGCCCAGCTGTGTGACTGACAGCTGGCTTTGCCTATCTAGAGGCAGAGCCAGCTGTACCCGCCCCCCCGTCCGTTACGCCAGTCAGTGCTGGCGGATCGGAGCGTGCCATGTGACACTTTTTCTAAAACAATACAGACTAATGATTTCAGGACAGTGGTGGAGCACCAGAGCCAGGTACCAGCTGCATCCCACTGCAACCCTGGTAGTTCTCATGAAAATGCCAAGTATCTGCACTGGTACTCGAAAAGTATCTGTGCATCCCTAATGTTAAGTATTTATTGCTACAAGCACCTCTACTCCTATCTCATCACTTCCTGCCAGGACAGGATGTTATAAAAAATATCCGCAAAAATAAAACAAGTGAGGAAGGGTCATAACTGACAATGTCTTATTGCAGTCTGTGCCTTCCAGTTGTCACAGGGAAAGGAAGTGAGAGAAAATCCCACTGTATGGACCACAGAAATAAAAACATAGCAGAAATGTAAAGCTGAACTCCAGGTTAAAGTGACTCTAGTCTGCTAAGTCAGGAGTTAAATCTTAAAAATACATTCAAGTACCTTAACTATTAACAAAAATTGTGCATCGCTTGGTTGTAGTTCCTCGAATCATCTCTGAATTCATGCTGACACTGTCCTTCCTTCTGGAGGGTGACTACTTTTGTTCCCCATGGTACCTATGCGTGTTGTAAAGTAGTCACCACTCCAAGCTCGCTCCTGTGATGGACTACAATCTCATGTTTAGTTTACTAATTTGTATTGAGATTGTAGTCCATCACGGGAGCGATCTTGGAGAGGTGGCTACTTTACAACACACAGGGACCATGGGGAACAAAAGTAGTCACCCTCCAGAAGGAAGGACAGTGTCAGCATGAATTCAGAGATGATTTGACGATCTACAGCCAAGTGATACACAAATAAGATACATTTTTGTTAACTGTTAGGGTACTTGAATGCATTTTTAAGATTTAACGCCTGAGTTTAGTGCCACTTTAAGTAAAAAAAGTGACCCTTGCAGTGCCCCCTCCATGCTGCCAGGGTTAAATGCTCATTTTGTCAAGAGGTAGAGGAATATGCAGTAATACTTTATTCCTGACTCTTGCAGGGTTCCTCTGCACTGCTACTGGCCCCCCGCCCCCCAGCTTACCTTTGTCGATCTGTCGGTCGCAGGCATTTTCAGTGTGGGATTTTCTGTCACCAGGACAGTCATAACAGTCACCCGGACTAATTGGGAAGGTGAATCTCCCAAACAGGGACACATACAGCATTAAAAACCTGAGAGGTGTTCTAATCCCTCTCTATTCTGTCCACAACTGAAGAAAAAAGTTCCACTTTTTCCTGTTTTGGTCCACTTTTTCCTATTTTCTTTTCTTCCTTTTGTATCCCTCTTAGATTAAAATGCATTCATCAATAAACAAATAGGTACAAAAATATGTGAATAGCAAATATTCTACTATGTGAACCCAGAAATGTATTTAATTGTTCCCAAGATCAGAGTTGATAAACTTTAAAAAAAGGTTTGTTGTCACTGAAATTAGTACATTAGATATTTTGGGACTGATTGATCGAAGGCACTTACTATGACCCCACACAGCCCACTGCGCTCTTACCTTTCAGGTGACACTGTTAGTCTTTGAGGAGTCTGTTGGGGTGTCCAGAGCTCAGATGACAGCAGGGTTGGAGAAAGGTCCTGTGTACCCTCCGTCTGTCTGTAGTAGTGGTCCAGGCTATGCTGCACTGCCATCCTTTATAGTTCAGATGGGTATTATTAGAAGGAGACTCTGTTCAGGGATGTTTCCATGCTGAGAACACCTACTGAGATACACACACTAACAGAGCAGCACATGCACCTAGGTTACAGCCGGACACACCTACATCATTCTAATGTGTCACTTGCAGAGACTTTACCAATTATAAGGCAACAGCTAGTGACACTACAATTACTTCCATAGGCAGCAGTGTGTACACACAAACATACATTTCAATCCAGTATAAGCAGACGCCTGAACTAAAGACTTAAGCTACAGCCATCCATACACAGTCTTTTTAGTTTTCTTTTTCAGTTGCTGTTATTACTTTATTATAGGATAGCTGAAGTTTTAAGTTAAAGTGATATTAAAAGTCAAAAGATTTTTAGAGGTAAAGTCCACCTTATAGAAAAAAATAATAGACACATACTTCTTCATAAAAGAAAAATCAGCATTTATAACTTTTTTTGCATTGCAGCCAGTAATGCATTGCAACTGTTAGGGCTGCTGTACAGGCTATTCACAATAGCCCGTACAGCAGCCGAAGGCAACCGAGCGGCTCAGCCAAGCCAAACACATATGCTTCGGCTCAGCTGAGCCGTAGTGACAGCTGAAGCGTGGAGTGACAGCTGAACCGTTCTTCACGCAAATGACAGCTGGGCTCACTCCGCCCACTTGTAATGACAGATCAGCATCCTCAAATGACCTGGGGACGCCGATGCGTCATTAACCAGTTGACATCCGCGGTGTTAAACCCCCTTCCCATCCAGGCCATTTTTCAGTATTCAGCGCTGCGGTACTTTAACTGACATTTATTCCGTCATGCAGCGCTGTACTGAAATGAATTTTATACCCTTTTTTGGGGACAGATAGAGCTTTCTTTTGGTGGTATTTATTCACCACTGGGGGTTTTATTTTTTTAGTATATTAAGGAAAAATTACCGAAATTTTTTAAAAAAAAACAGTTTCCCCTATATTAAATGATAAAACATTTATTATTACCCAATTTTTTGGTAAAATATAAAAGATGGGGTCACGTCGGGTAAAAAGACACTAAACATGTCAAGCCTTAAAATTGCGTGCGCGCGCGAAACCTCAAAAAACGATAATACCCAAAATTGGCCCTAGGCGACGCTTTAAAAGCTGTTACCGCTCATCAGTTTAGTGTTATCAGTGATTGATGGCCCTAAAATGATTGCTCTCACTGCGACGTTCGCGGCGATATGTAACATGTGTAGCGCAATTGTAATTTTTGCGCGCTGGGGCACCGGACGCGTATTTACGTTTATAGGCGCGTAAACGTGGGGGTGGGGGAGTTAAACATTTTGGGGGGGTTTTTTCCCCTTTTTTTATATGTGGCTTTTATTTTATTTTATTTTTTTATGTGTTACTTTTCTTTTTTTTTATTTATATTTTTTTTTTTGCACTTATTGTTATTGCTATTATATAGGGGGATAACAACCCCCTATATAATAGCAAAGGCACACTGACAGGTCCTCTTTATGGAGATATTAGGGGTCTCTAGGACCCCTAATATCACCTATGGACCCCAAAAGAAGCTGATAAAGCAGAGATCTGCTTTATCAGCTTCTTCTCTCTCCAGATGACTGACAGGTGAATGCGGAAGTGATGTAACACACATCACTTCTGCATTCACAGCCCGGACGGGGATCAGCAAGGAGCTGATCTCCCGTCCTCCTCCTCCTGACGCCCTCGGAGCCGGTCCCGGGATCCAAGATGGGGCAGCGGATCCCGGGAATCAAGGTGAGGGGTCAGGGGGAAAAAAAAAAAAAAAAAAAAAACCGGAAGCGCCGAGCGGGCGCGGGGGGGGGGGGGATGGGTGCCGCGAACGAGCACATATAGGCGATCGGCGGGCTATGGACCCGCTGATCGCCTATATGTGAAACACCCGGTAACGGGTGTGTGCATTGAGCGGGTCTTTTCTGCCCGTGCGTGCCCGCTAGGGGGCGCGCGCGAGCAGAAAAAAATTGCCGTCTGGAGACGGCAACCCGCAGATGCTGCAGTGCCGTCCGTCCGTTTTTTTACTACGGGCGGACGGCAAGAGGTTAAACAACAACAACTGAGCGGAGCTGGCCGTGACGTCATGGCCAGCTCTGCCCAGTTGTTTTTTTTTTCTGCCCAGGATCTGCTAGGAGACTCTGGCAGGTTCCGGCCAAAAGTAAACAGTTTGGCAGAGCTAGCAGTGATGTCACCGCTAGCTCCGCTCAATTGTTTATATTTTGCCGTCATCTGTCAGATTCTTCATTCTGCGACGGGAGTTCGTCGCGTGCGGTCGGGTCGGCGGGCATCATTTATTTATTTAAATATTAT